CTGCTGCTGCTGCTGCTGCTCTGGGTCTGCTGCTTCTGCTGCTGCTGCTCCTTTGTGGTTTGCTGCAGCTGCTTGGTGGTAGACTGCAGATGCTTGGTGTGCTGCAGCTGCTTGGTGGTCCCGCTCACCGCGCGCAGGGGGAGTCGAACCGCGGGGGGGGGGTCCATAAGATTGATTTAATCAATTATTTGAGGTTTCTGAGGTGCGTCCACCCCGTCACTTAACTTGCTAAAGCAAGAGCAACTCCAGCTAGCTAAGGCTAGCTTTCGTGATCTACAGTAACTCTTTGGGCTTTCGTCCGGCTTGAGGCCGCGCAAGCATCACGGAACATGACCCATGCACTGAAACACACACTTCCGATGGTCGTGTAAAGGTTGCGTCATGCTTCAGTCTGAACTCATTGTCAACCGGTTGGTTCTTCCTAGGGGCCATTTTCCACTTCCATGTTAGTTCCAGGGAGTGTAGCTTTCCTGACAAGTTCTGACAAGTGGCCACTCCTGCTGGTTGAACTTCCGTGTCCGGGCCAGCGTCAAGGCAGGTGAGAGCGGTATCCTCAGACTGATCTTGGCACCAGTGGCATCTGCGAGCGACGGCAGCTCTTGGACGCTACAAATGATACAGTCCCTCTTGATATCTTGGCAACGAGCGAAGGAACACCAAAAGACCAAAGCTCCTCATAAAAGCCAAGCCAAGGGTCATTTGAATTCCATGAATGTACCTCGGCGCGGAGGACGGAAAAGACCTGCTGGGCCTGCGGCCTAAAGTGGCAAAGGCAAGCATGGCAGCATGGCACTGTGTTTAAACAAAGGCTTCCTTCTTTCATGATCCGAGAGGTCCGGGGTAGACCGAAAGGTCCGAGGTTGCTCGCGGCACAGCATCTTCAAGGTCGTCGCTCGCCGAGGCGACCTAGCTCCTAATGAGTTTCTCCCCTTCAATGCTTATGCTGGTGACACAACAGGGAAAAGGGCGGCGACATATCATCAACCATATGCAAACATTACTTCTGATTGTAGTGACCGAAGGACTCACTACCAGCTGGTGTCGCCATGAACATCTGAACCCACATCTTCCAAGCACTTCCACTTCACCTAAAATGGCCGGTGGACTCAATAATGACCTCACTCGACGTCCAAGGCTCTCAAAGTGCTTCCCAAAATAGGTGGCATAGTGCGCCTTGTTTTGCAGAAGCATCCCAGGTGCACGATTCCGGGCCTCGAGTCGGATGTGCGGTAAAGGTCGAGTTGATCGAGTCGGGTCCGAGTCGATCGAGTCGGTGTTCAAGCAGCCCATGTTCAATGGGACGAAACCTCCACCACCGCGCTGTGCCGCAAACTGTGCCCGACCTGGACGAAACACAAAAACCACCTGGGGATGCACCTGGATCGATGAAGTCCAGGTCGACCATCCGAGACATCGGATCGCCGGAAGACCAAGAGAGATAGGGACACCATGCCATCTCATGCTCGCCCCAGTGGCCGATCCAAGCAAGTTGATATTCTGTGTATCCACCCACTATCTCCCACTTGTCTACACAAGGCCGCCTTCGAGGTCGTTTCTGCCCCAAGGCTCCTCCACCCTGCTGACGAAGACACATAGTCGGCTGGATGGTGAGGGTTTCCTCATTGCAGCTGCTTGGGAGAAATGCTCAACCAAGCTGAACCAACAAGAGCTCTGCACCACTCCCTGCACCCCGTGTACAAACTCAGGTTGTGAGACAGTTGACTCAGTTGACCCCCGCAAAAAAAGAAACGTCCAACCAACCGTTGCCCTCTGAGCAGCTCAGTTTGGCTGCACCCGCTTCGGCAGTGTCCAACGGATAGAGTCAAGTGCTGAAATGGAAGGCATGTGTCGGACCATGCACCACCGCCCCCAAAAAAGATGTGAAATGATGTAATCACAGAGTCATGATGGAAGGTGAGTGTGCTAATGGAATTTTGCAGGGTCCAATTGCCAAACTTCAGGACCCATGCCGCGGCCCACAAAGGAGGGATTAAGAAAGGATTTGGCATCATCTTGCAATCCCAAAGCAGCCAGGTGGAACCCGTGCACAGCTGGAAGCGTGAGCATTGGCAGAGACAGGGCAACCAACCACTAGGGCCGGTAAGGAAACCCCATGCTGCTTGACTCAGAGAATCGTGTCTGGAAGACTAGAAACTCAACAAAGTCTCCACCCCTGACCCCTGAGATCCCCTGGGCCTTCCGCCATGAGGAAAAACTCCTGCACTGTGGCGGTGGCCATGGCCAACCTCGGCGACATCGGGCCAAACCGCCCGGGGTGAGCAGGGTGGAATTCCTTTCCTGATTTAACCAGGGACAAGGTGTGGGTTGCGCCGGTCCATGTGGGTCCTGGGTTCTGTGTTTGGAGATCTGTGGTAGGATCCTGGGTTCAGTGCGCCAATCCAAAGCACACCTGTTCTTGTTGCAATTGTCACCTCAAAGTCAAATAGAAAAGGGGTCAACATGCTTCACCACTGTTAGTCTCAGTTGATGGGGAACATGTGTTATACATTTTTGCAAGGTATGCATACATCTAATAGACTCATGTAACGTACTATATAATTCTATATAACTTCATTATACTTCATTCCTCCCTCTCTCCCTCTATATTGCACATGTATCCGCGTGCGTGTCAACTTCGAGACTGCAAGCAGATTGATAGGATCTTTAATGGCTCTGTTGGCAATCACTGCCCATGTCAGAGTGGAGACAACATCAGGTTGCCCACCAAAAAGTGGCACACCTCTCAAAATCAAAAAACAAAAAACTCTCAAGTAAATGCCTCGGAGCATGGTCGCACCCAGTTGCTGCATAGACCTCCGTCCAGTCTCCTCCAAAACCGGTGGGTTGATCAAACCGGCCGATTCAAATGCTTCAGATTCGTTTGCACCAGTTCTCACACGTTTGCCCGGCGGCCTAACCCCGGTCGACCTGGCCCGGGTCGGATGCCCAGTTCTCGCTCTCCGGTCCTTGCCCCAGAGGTGAATCCCATAGTGGAGGTTCATTTCTTCCTCAGTCAGTCAAACTTGAAACCTAAAGTTTTTCTGTCTGGCCGTTCCCATTCCCTGTCTGACAGTCTGACATGGCCAGATGCACACACAGCATCAAAAAGGGATGCACATATGCCCATTACACACAAACACACAGCCCCCGAAAAGCAGCTACGCGTATTATATATATTATATATGTACACACATATGTATTTATGACATATACTTAAATATCAAATAGAGTTATTTATGCATTGAGTGATCCTAGAATACCCGATGCATCCTAATAACTACCAAACATTCTTCAAGTGCCCCTCGATTCTGGATTTCTTTTTAATCTTTTACCAAGTCATCCCACAAGCACTCCACCAGACGGTCACTCCGCAGCTTTGTGGCTGAGGTAGGTAGAACCCCCTTATGGATGCCATATGGCTGTGGGCCAAAACCCGGGAAGGTCGGACTCGGCCTCGGACCATAAGCCTTTGGGATCCGACCCTTGGAACCGTCCCACTCCGGGCTCGGACTTAATTTAGGATTTTGTTGCTTTTGTTTTATTGTTTTTTTCGTGGCAGGCGCAGTACTTTGTGGACATTGAAGTGCAGATTTCT